CGCAGAGGTTCACTGGTGTGTTTTTAAAAGTTTTCAGAACAATAAGATGTGTCGAGTCACAGAGTTGTGCACAAAACCAACACGACGCACGTCACGAACGTGAAGGAGACCTTGTGACGCTGTCGAAGTGTCGGTCTAATTAATCGAGACCACATGCAGAAATAACCTTTAAGAGAACGTAGATGTCCTTTTCAAAATCTAAATAGATTGAAATATGAGCATGTGTTGCCACCACAATCATCGCCCAGACGGTGTCCAGAAAATGGGCTTCCTCTCAGCTAATTAGAGGCACTGAACTGGACCTCTCGACTGCGTCTGTGCTGTTGTTGCCTTTTGGAGCATTTTAATGGAATTATCTGACAAATAATTTGGCCCATTGTGTGGTTAATGCACCAGATGGTCCAAGAAGTCTGTGCTCCAATTTTGGTGACTATAGTGTTTTAGTACCCTTTTTTAGCTTGTTACTTAACACGCTAAAAGCAGATATCTCTGTCTGTGCGATGCACCTGTACAGTTAATGAATGCAGCTTGTCACATTAGCTCGCTAGCCTTCGCTGATAACTTGGCACTTCACCCGCGGGTCTAAATGTGGCTTCTGGCTCAAGAAAAGCGAGATGGAAGCGGCCAAAACACTAATGTCCGGGCTTTAAAATGCAGAATCCATAACGTAGTGGGTGACATCACACCGGCAGCATCTGTCTTGTGTGTGTGGTTTTCATACCGGCTGCCACGAGGGCATTACACGTGCGTCATCGATATTTTCCTTGGCCTCAAGTGCAGTGATACAGTTTGGATTAGCTGTCAAACCCGATGCAAGTGAGCCCAACCCTAAATGTAAAATTTATCCCCACTGATGCTTCTTACCAACCAAAACATACCTCAGAGCTGAAGTGGGCTTCTCAGCTTTTGATTCTGCAGAGTTAGTTGAGAGAGGAGACTTTCACGTTTCTGAGCTTTATTAGCGCCGAAACAGCCTATCGCAAAAGACAATCTATTGGTCTCGGTGTTGCCGGCGTGCTGAAAATGACTCCTCCATCTCGGACTTGTTTATATGAATCGAAGGGAGATGGTGGTGGGGGCTGATCCTCCACTCCACACTTAACTCCCTGCTCTCTCAGGTGATGGAAAGGTTATATTTGCAGCTTCTTTAGAAAAAGAAAACAAACGGCGAAGGACTGGAAAAGGAAAATAATGAATTAAACCTCTGGCATTATAATTCTTGAGAGCGAAGACTCAGAAACCCCCCACCCCAGCTCCTATTTAATCGGATGTAATCTACCTGCTTGGCAGCATTCCAATCAGATAGTTTCAATTATGCTCTTGTAATGCCACTCTGCGAGGAGGGGGAAAGTGCTGAGCAGAGCACTTTGCAGGCGATTTGCAAATAACAGCAAGGGAGTCTTTTAGAGAAATGACTGAACAGGAAGCCGGAGAGTTGCCGGAGTTGACAGCTCTCTCACTCTTAGGTTTGCTGGCTTTGGCGGTGACGGCATGTTTTGCATCCCGCCGCCTCCTGCCCGTGACAGCAGCTGTCGGGACAGTAAAGCGCCGCTGAAGGTGGCCTCCTATGGTAATACGGAAGTAATTATTTTCCACTGCTGCACCAGCGTCTCACAACCAGGCAGGTCGGAGCCTCGGGAGCAACGTGCAGAGGCAGCCGTCGCGGATCGCGGTGACACTCGGAGTTACTGAGCTAGCAGGACGCGGTCCGAGGCGCTCGGGAGTCGGCGTTCAGTATTTGTGTTCTCCATATGTGTACTTGCCCCCGGTGTCGGGGTGTGCCGCTGGCCTGTCAGAGCGTCGAGCCAAAGTTAATCTGGATGTCTGCAAACACGCGACTGCGCCTGCCGTGATAAAAAGCCGGGCGGAGGAGCTGGAGGACAGCGGTGCTCTGTAGTCTGGCAACATACGCTAAAGGTCGATAGTGTCATGTGTGACCGATGAAACAGATTGACCCGCGGGGCTGTGGTACCTTGTCACCCTCCACGGTCCCGGCATCTGTCTGCAATGTGTCACCCCCGGGGCCCAACATGGCTACTCAGGCTATTAACCTCCAGCGCGCGAGGACACGGCAGAGTTAAGACCCGTCCACCCGTCTCTCTCTGTCACAAATCCACTCCTTAGTAGCCGGCCGGCCGACCGAGTGCATTTCCCGCCTCTCGCGTCCTCTATCACTTGTTAACCTCTGGTCAGAGCAGGCGGGACTTAGGAAGCCGCCGCCATGAGTGCGCCCTACCTGTACGGCTGCAGGGGAAGACAAAGCGGGACCTTGAATCAAACAACTGTCACTGCTAACAATGTATGTCACCGTCTCGGAATGGGCCATAAAAACCAAATAAATGACGGCCATTACAGTGGAGATTGTGATTATGATAATGAGAATAATAAAGGCGATCATCATTACGATCATGATGATAATGATAATACTGTGATGATGAATTATAATGAATAAATCCCTACCCCATTTCCTAAATGGTGGGAAATGTATCACTACGAGAGGCCTGCAGCCATCTGACAGCCTCGGAGCGGCGTGAGGGTTATCGGCGTGTGCGTGCGTGTCATTCGAACCGCTTGTACTCTGGCTACGGCCTACTCTCTTTTCACGCCTGTATCAGTACAAGATTGCATCCGTGTATGTGACTTCCCAGTCAGAGCATAGTGTGTGTCATGCTCAGAGAGCACTTCCCAGGAGACCTGGCAGTTTACATATCACATTCAAACAGCTTTTGTTCTCAATATCTGCCACTTCCACTCTCTCGTTGCTCGTTCTCCCCTCTCCTCTCTCGCCGTTTCTTTATTTAGTATCTTACCAGAGGCTCTGGCTCTAAATCAGCCTTCGTTTTATTGTTTGTTTTTTTTTAATATGCTTGCTTTTGAGAAATGGACACTGTCTCTAACACACAAAAAAACCACAGCATTTATCTTTTCTTGATGAGTGACCTCTTGTGGTCATGAGAGCAATTACTTTTCCTCTCTGAGAGACAAATAGGAATTGTGCAGTGCTGCTTCACACTAAAACTTTATTTGAAATTGTAGTGAATGGCTTGTAGTTCACTTCTTGTCGCTCACTAACAGTCGGCACTTTCCAGAGTTGAAGTATAGAAATGCCAACACCTACGACGCTGTGTGTGTTTGTGTGTGACCCTTTATTACCAGCGTGTTTCATATGACGCCAGTGCATGCAGACCCCCCCATGTGTACCTCACCTGTTTACCATGCAGATCACTGTCACCAGAAGAACGAGATCATTCGTGTTTATTTTGCTTAATATATACTTTATTTATTGTTTGTGCTTTCTGGTGCAAATGAATAAACACAACTTTGTTCATGTGCCCAGTTAGTGTGAGGTGATAGAGTTTAGTGTAGGTTTCCTGGTGCAGTGATATCGTACCACTGTCACAACCCCAGGACGTCACTGCACCTCTGCTGTTTGCTGAACAGCTGGCACTTCTATTTTTTATGCTAAGCTAACCTGGATTCTGTTTAATGGCCAGCAGGAAGCGACTCACCTTTCGACAAAAAGATGTCAGACTTTACAGAATCGATGAGAAAATGCTGATTTATTCTCTGCATAATTAACCCCTAATTTTATTTTTGTCATTTCATAGCCTGATGGTCATTTTGTAAATGATGGCTCCATTTAGAGTAAAACAGAACAAAAAGCAGGACTGGGCTATTTATTTTCCCAAGAGGCCGCATGAGAAATTGGGACTCTCGTGGAGGGCCACACCAATAAGCTGAACTCAGTTCTGCTCACTATTAATTTTCCCTCTTTGCAAACTCATCGGTGCAACGCTCCACAAGAGTCCCAGTTCCTCATGTGGCCTCTCAGGAAAATACAGTTCCCAACCCTGCCTTCAAGCACGACTTTAAACACATCGGTTGGTTTGTGTTTCAGCTACAGAAACATCAAGATGTTACCTTTAAAATCAGGCCTTACAGTTCTTCTATGATGGGTTGTTTTTTATTTAATATGCAAAGTCATTGAATATTCCACAGAAAGAGGATCCATCCTTAGGTTGCACGCATCCCAGTGGATGTCAACATTTCTAAATCTCAAACCAAATGTTTTAAAACAGTAATCCACTCAAAAATGGCATATGTAAAAAACAAACCAACAACAGCTAACACCCATTTTTTTATATGCAGTCTATGCTTCTGGCTCCAGCTCGATACTTGCTGCTCATATACTGATGCTGTTTGTTACCATCTAAAACGAATATTTTGATAGTTTTAGCCAAATGTTTAGTGGCTTAAACTTTAACCACAGAGCGAGCAGGTCAGAAACCACTCATTTGATCAATTTGCATAAAACACATTTTCAGAAAACACTTACCGGCAACCTATTGACCAAATACAAAGACGGACCGATGTCAGAGCAGTTAACCAATGAGGTTTCATCCATAGAAAATAAAACTGCCTCAAATACGAGGTCCATCTAAACAGACAAGCCACCAGCACCCTCGGTGAAATTCATCACGGGTGTCACAGAAAGAAACAAGTGGAATTTGTCACTGACATCAGACACGTCATTTATATAGAAATGTCAGCGCAGCATTCGCATAATGATGGAAACAACAACGCTGAGGGCTTTGGGCCTCGCACTCTGATGGCTGTGTGCAAACGTCACCAATAATGTGTCTTTAGTCTAGACATGTCAGGGCTCTGTGGGATCTATATCCACGCCTTTTTGTCAGCGCCTTCAATCTTCCCTGTTGCTCAAGAGCTAAGTGCAAGAGATTAATAAGTGGATTTGTAATGCACAACCTCAGGTTTGACACTATAAGTCATAGGCTGTTTATCGCTTTGGCTTTCTCGCCCGATTGAAAAATAGCAGACGCCGAGGAAGTCAGTCAGCCAGGCCTCCCACCCCGCCCCGTACCCTGCCACCCTCCTGTTTCAACCCCCTCTTCTCCTATACTTCATGACCAGGAGGTACAGTATACTGTAGCAGCTAATGAGCAGCTTGTGTCTTTCCTCTGTTTGTTTCCCTCTGGCAGACAGATGATGTGACGCAAACAGAGGGCTCTCAGCAGCTCCAGCTCCAGCACTCAGACTCTTCAGAGAAGCAGCAGCCCAAAAGGTTACATGTCTCCAACATTCCCTTCCGCTTCCGGGACCCTGACCTAAGGCAAATGTTTGGGGTGAGTACCTCGGAGAAAAATTTCAAAATATCACACCTTGGCTCTGCCGTTGCCTCGTTTCCATCCAGAACTTTGAATCCCAGGAGCTTTTTCCAAGGAACTAAAATGTTTTTGCTTCCCCCCCCCAAGTTACATAAATGACTTTCTCGCTGCTTTTATCTTATTGTGGGGGTTATATTACTTAAACCATATCTTCATTGTTACTGGGATGTGATCAGATTAATTCTTGTTGCTTCTGGATTTCTTTTTAATTCAGTGGGAAGTGTAACTATAAAGCACAAAGGCATGAACATTATTGGTCTGTTGGGCATCTTTGTAAACATGTTGCATGTTTATGCTGCACCAACATGATGGAGCCACATTAGAAGTCTCTGTCTCTCTCCTCTGCTCCGTGTTTGGGTCCAAGCTGCAGATCTGCATTTCTTTCGGATGGCAGAGCTGAGCTGCAGTACACACACACACACACACACAGCAGAGCAGCCACATTAAATAGATTAAAGCCCTTCAGTTACATGCACGTGTAATACAGCAATACTTCACTTTTCTGCACGTTTGCTTTGAAACAATCAGAAGATGCCGTTTTATTTTCCTGATGCCACGCTCCGTCTTGCTCGACCACAGATGACGGGATGAGTCTTAACGTTACATGAAATATCTGTGGTTTAACTTATTTTATTACATTGTAATTAAATCTCAAGGTGTTTCATATTGTAAGTTAAAAGTCCGACAATATTAGAGAGACAGAGAACACCAACGATCTGATAACCCGCTCAGAGCAAGTATGTGGCGACAGTGGGGAGGAAGAAGTTCTTTTTAAACAGGAAGAGACCTCCGGCAGAGCCGAGCTCTGGGCAGCTATAGCTGTGACTGGTTGGGGGTTGTTTTGGGGGTTTTTTTCATGCTTTTGCCAAAACTGGGGGATACTACATATAATAACTAGCAGGACACTTGCACCAATCAGAATGCTCGGTGTCCACTTGTGCAAGTTGGGACATCTTTAAAAATAGTTTCCCTGCAAGAAAAACTAATCAAAAATCTGGCACTTGAAGAAGGTTCCTGTTGTATTAGTGTATGTACTGTTTATTGCAATGTGAAGAACGATCCTACAACAAAGCCTGAAACACACAGGCTCACTCGGGTAACCAAACCGACAGCAAAGTTTCTGCAGAATATATGAAAAACATTGTATTTGGATGTAAAGTTAAAGGTCAGCACTCGAGAATCTGACATGCTAGCAGTTGTTGTTCTTGAGCGGTCCCACCTCACCCTAATTAAAGAGCGCATCCTCTAAAGTCAGAGCAAATTATTATATCTTTATTAAAGTGAGTATGAAGCTTCTGGGAAAACAATCTAAACCACACAACAGGACGCGTATTTAATGAGCAAAGCCAGCGCTTAAACTGTCATCTAGTTAATGCATTGATTACTACATTGTCAGAAGGGGGAGAAGGAGGAGTGTCTTCTGAGTTTTTAAAAGCAAACAGCTCAATCAGTCCCAATCAGGTGCTGAACTCATCGCTGCACTGCAGGTCGGGCACTGGGGAGAAGTTAGAGGAGCCCGGTGCGGTAATGATTTTACTCTTCATCTTTGTCTGCTCTCCCAGAGAGCTGCGGCTCGCTTTGTCGGGCTTTTTTTAGGCTACCGTGTCCCCTGAACAACTGACGTGAGGGTAATTTTAAACGTAAAATATGAGGACAAATACAAAGAAAATGGGGGGGAAACAGATTTAACTTTAATTTCTGTTTCTGTTTTGTTCTCGTATATCAGAGCGTATACAATGGGTAGTCTCCACAGGTCATTAAACAGTCTTATTTTCTAGAAGTTACACACAGAACGGTCAGCTGCTGACAAATGCAATGAGATTACATATCAACATACGAGAGGTCCACCACAGAAATTCTCTCTCTCTGTCTCTTTGCAATTAATGAGCCAATATATACAGTTCAACAGCTCACCCTCGTGTCTCACAAAAGCCTCGATACCAATTGAACCAAACATCCCCTATTCAATAACGATAATGGATCTGAATGGAGACGATTGCCAAAAATGTACTTTAAATGTTATGCACTAATTGGACCATTAGAATCCAGAGGCGTTAATTCTCGTCGTTATGAAGACAACATCCAGCTGATGATATTAATTACTCGCGAGCCGTGGCTGTGGCTTTATAAATTGCAGACAACATGGCTGCGTGCTTGCTCTCTCTTTCTCTCTCTGATTGTTGGCTTTATTGTTCCCAGCTCTGGTGCAGGTCGTGTGGAATCCAAATCACCTCAGTAATTAGCTTGGAAGCTTTGTGTGCCTGACTGGCTCGTGCAGATATATGATACAGAATTGATCACAGCCCACCCAGTCCCCCTCAATCACCCTTCTCACCCACATTGCCCGTTCCCTCCTCTTACCTGCACCTTCCTTTCATTCTTGGTGGTTGGCACACTAGAGAATTGTGGGATCAATTGTCTTGGGTCGAGCTTGGCGAGGCGATAGCTGGTCTGCTCCACCCTCTGACATGGCCTCCACAATGGGCCTTTGTGCGATCAGCACGTGCAAAGCCTCATCCCTCTAGCTCTAATGGCTTCTGGAGCGCCACCGGCTCAATACGCCATTACTGTTACGCATGAGTGAAGGCCACAGACATGCAGGCGGGAAGACAGAGGAGAGAGAGAGTGGAAGTGCGGCACGGCTCACTAGAGAAGGCGTCTACAGCAGAGCAAAGCCCCCACCAGGAGCCTCCATCTGCTCCCACACGGCACGGGGAAACTGTCTCCGCTGAGCGCCACGAAGGTTTCGACAACGGTAGGCGGCGTTCAAACGAGAAGGGAGGGCCTGAAATCCACCCTGACATCACAGGGTTAAGGGTGTGGAGAAACCTGTGAGCTTTTAACGAGGCGCTGAATGAAGGCCTCATTAGGGCAACCGCAGCGGACGTTAATCAGTAATTAGAAACTGTGATCTCTGAGAGTGAGTAAGTGTGGGGGAAATGAAAACACTCCAAGCGCGAGTGAGCTCTGCGCGGCGCCCATGCTGCGCTGCTTGAGGGTGCCCTCGTTTGTGTGACTGGGTTCTTCAGCAGTGCTTCTTGCAGCGAGCGTAAGGGCTCTCGCAGCGCTCCCCAGAGCAATCAGGACCTCTGCACTCCCCCACCCACCACCACCACTCCGACTGTCACTGCGCCTGAGCGTGCTCTGTTTGAATACACAGGACGCCGTAGCGTAATTATAGGTTTCTGAAGAGCTTAAAGATATTCAGGCTAATCGAAGGTGGAGGCACAAGGGCCTCAATCTTGTTTGTTGCTTCCACACTTGGAAGCTTGAGGTCTAGTAAATATAGTCGATTATCACTTCCAAGTGCAGAAAGACAAAAACACTAGTGTTCTTAAAATACAGACGCTGTCTAGCCAGAGCTGTTTCCGAGTAGCCTCTTCTTTTGTGGTTTACAAAGAAAATAAATGGAAAAGCACCCAAGAGTCAAGTTACAGCCCTGTTATTGAACATACAAGCACGACCTGTGTTCTTAATGGTGCAGTCACGCTACCACAAAACCTTGGTGCAGTGTCATCCCCTTTGAAATGGTCAGCGGCACAGAACATCTCTGACAGTCGTCGAAGTCGGTTGTCGTCATCAAATTCATGCATCGAGACGCTGATAAAAATGCAATAAGACGGTGTCAGTCTGTTATCAGTTTGCAATTGAAGCTGGCCATTCAAGTTGGGAATTGACCCCAATTAACTGCTAACCTGAATGGGGTCAGGTTGGCAATTACGTGCAATCAGTTTGTGATAATACGATGAATAAATTGCCGAAAACAGACGTTCACACTAAACAGAAAACACAGTAACGACTTGCATTCAGTTCAGCCAGAACCTTGGAACAGAAACTCAGTGACGCAGCTGTCGGCAATCAGTCCAAGTCGTGGCGCTCTTGTTTGGAGGCAGGATGCCTTGCTGCACCGGTCAACCTGTGGCCATCACCAATGTGAACAAAAGTGATTGCCCAGAAGTTGGGGGTGCTGCACGATCAGCCTCGGAAAAAGGAGCTGTTTGCTGCAACTACTTGGTACATTTCCCATCCTGTTTTTATTCTGCTCTGATCCGTAAATATTTAGGGTGCACGACCTGAAACGTGGTAGCGTTGATGAAAACAAACAGCTTGGTTACGTAGCATAAGCTCCGTGATAGCACTGAACTTACTCAGAGCAGGCTTCCACGCGGGTGCTTTGTTTACATAACACAGACAGGACAACAACACGACATTTGTTAATCGTGTCTATGCACGACTCTCCAATCTAGCTCAATTCAACAAAACCGAAGTAGACTCCCTCTTGTGGCTCTATTGAGTAATTGCACTTTAATTAGGAAGCAGAACACAAAACCAGCAAAATAAAAAAATAACTGCAGATGTATTTAATCAGTCACTAATATTTTTGCCCAATCACCATACCCCATTATGTACTGAGGGCAGATTATAATGTACAAAAAAAATGCGAAACCAAATAAAAACATTCAAATGTCTCAAAAGCACGGGAATGATTTGCTCCAGTTAAGCCGTAATTGAAACATAACGAGTTTGATAAATTAGATAAAACATGCAAACCCCCAGTATCATCATTCGATGCTTCTCTTAATGCTTTTTTATTTTCATACAGATATTGGATGGTTTTTCTAATCTATGGATGGATGCATGTAGCTGCAGCCTCCTAGATGACATCAGTCTCTCCCTTGTCCTCCCTCTGGAGACTCCTCCCATTGAAGCTATTGTTTATTGGGGCTGCTGATGCAGCTGTTTCTCCCCGTGTGTGTGTGTGTGTGTGTGTGTGTGTGAGTGAGAGAGAGATTGAGAGCAAGTAGGTGGGTGGGAATAGAAGTGCATGAGATCACTGGTGAGCAGCGAGCAGTCCCCAGCGCCATGTGGAAATCCACAAAGATGACTTCCTCTGAAACTAATTAATCGACGCCACAAGCCCATTACGCTCGGTTAAAACAATTAGCATCTGCACGTTGCGTGGGGGAAGCATTGTCTTCTCAGGCGAGAAAGGGGCATCACGCTGGGATATAAATGCCTGCGTGCGTGATCGAGCCAACGCTCCCCATTCGAATCAGTGGAGCCGAGCGCCATATGAAGCAGATGTGCGTCTAGGATCTATAGAACTAGTTTCAACACGAGCAGACGCATAGGGGAGAGGACACGCCCTGTGGAAACAGAGGTGGATTTAAATGACAAAGCCTGTTTTTGGCTTGGCGACTTGGTGCGTTGAGCTTGCTGCGTTCTTTGAAATGAGGGGAAACATACGTTTTCCCGCTAACCCATAAACGCTCATCTCCTGGAGTCCACTCCACTCACTCCAGCCAGATAATAGCCGGCTCCTCCTAACCCCTATTAGTGGCTCAGTCAAACGATCCATCCATTCCCATTGAGTGTCGACCACATGGAAAGGCCCATTTCTTCCCTGTTGTGCTGAAATGAAGGCGACGCGGACCGCTTGACAGGGTAATTACTTTTAATGAAATAATACAGCCATTGTAGACAGCAATTAAAAGTCGCTCTCACTCCACTCATTAAAGGAACTTACAGTTTACTTTCATTCCTCTGTTTTCTAATGATCCGAAGGCAGGCCTGTTAAAATCGAAAGGCTGCAGCGTGTTAACCCCCGGGGACCGGCCCTTAGGTCCTGTTGACTGCGAGAGCACACAAACAAAGAGAGGATAAAGAATAAAAGAGAAGGAGGCTCTATAAACAGAGAGAAAGGTAGAAATAATCAACTAAACTCTTCACAAGACTCGAAGGAGCAAGTTTCCCCGAGGTGATCGCGGAGGTGTCGGGGTCCGCGTCTCAAGACGACATCAAAACACCGTCCGACGCCGCTCTTCTCTTTGTGTCGAAACAGGCGAGCAAACTTACATCATAAACACTGCCACGTAATCACAGATCAAGTACTTTTACGAATACTGTGATTTCATTTCGTAAAGTACCGAGAGACGCGCAGAGACGCGTTGCAGCGGCAGCTACGAGTTCTCTTTTCAAACCACGCCAGCGAGCTTCAAGAAGTGTTTGCTGAGCTAACAAATGCAAATTGACCACCATTTCCTCACAAAAGTAACATTTCCATATTGCCTTAATGGTTTTTCTTTCTCCGGTCGTCGTCCTCATGAATTTAGTCAGCGAGGCTTTCTAACTCCATCTCTTCTCTGCTCTTCTCTTTTTCTTTTCTCTCTGCAGCAATTTGGAAAGATTTTAGATGTGGAGATTATCTTTAATGAGCGAGGATCCAAGGTAAGTGAACTAGAACGCCAGCTGCTTCATTACCATGTACTTCTTCTGTTTCCTAATGATGGCATTAGTGTAGTGTGTACATTGGCTGAGAGTAGTGGTCTCTAAGCCTGGTCCTGGAGAGCTGCATCCACTGCCTTCCTGTCTCTCTCTCCCTATTGTTTTTGTTGTTTGTTGCAGCTCTCCCCCAAGTTGTGAATCATTAGCCCTGTCAATCAATTCATTATTGAGCTGTTTCACATTTCACTTAATCCAGCAACAGGCTGCAGGTCCTCCAGCATATGGAATTGAAACTGCTTGTTTAGAGACGGGGGTCCTCTTTGAAGCCTGGGCATTGATTGAAAAGGTCCTACATTATTCAGGTTTATCATTTTGTTTCAGACCGGATGAAAAACAAAGTTCTTTGTGATATTTACCAAATAAATGTAGTTTAGTTAAAATGAATTTGAAGGCTAATACCACGTTTATGAAAATACACGCCTGGAGAAGAACCTGCAGATCGAAACGCTGCCTCCAAGAGAATTGAATTATTAAAGTGAAGCTTAAGATTGTGTAGACGTTCCCCTTCTTTCTTACATCTATTACTTTTAACACACTTGTCCAACTTTGGGCAAAAAGAGCTTCATCTATTGGCCACAAGTTATTTTAAAGAAACTGGTTGGGGTGAGGACTGGCGGTGTTTGTCGGCTCTTTGACTTCTGTGGCACTCGGGTCGCAGCTTGCTGGTTTGTGCAGAGGTTGAACGTCTTTAAAAGAAGGATACAAACTTTATTAGAAAAGAAAAAAAACACCTCTGCAATACATCGGGCCATTATCTTTTTTCTAATTTTAATGTATTCAGACATTCTCATTGAGATTAAAATCTGTTTTTCAAGGGAGAACAAAAACATTAACAGGAACACAATGAGCAGGCAGAAACAAAAGAACACAATAAACAAGGAATTAATAAAAACAGCAGCAAAAAACATCAGATAATAAAGCTTTAGGAACTCTAAGGGGAACGTCGGTCTCCGGTTTGAGGTTAGTTTGCAGTACCTGAAACCTTTTTTACCCAGAGTAGTGCATGAGAATGTTTAATTAGATTTAAGTGTGATAAATAATAAAACTGATGAAGGGTTTAATTGCCGGAGTGCTGATGGGCCCGCAGAACAATACTGAATATCTCGATTGTCTAAGACAGGCTGTGGACGTTTGTGTTTACGAGTTGGTTCGATGTTGAATAGAAATCTTTAATTGAGTGTTTTCATAGTGTGTGACTGTCTGTGCTTTATATGTGTGTAAAAAGTGCTTAACATGCACAGTAGGCTAATAGGCTACATTAACTTAACTGTTCTAAGTTATATTAAAAATACTAAAATTTGAAGCTTTTGCCCCTGATGACTTACAATGATAGAAACACTCGTCATTAGAAATGTGTAGATTCAAGTTTACTGACAGATGGCTGGATAATAGAGATTACTCTGTGTTTTAGGAAACTAGTAGAAAAATTTAAAAATTATACATTTTGTTTGTTTGTGTTTCTTAAACACAACTTAATACTATAATTTTTTCTTTCTCCGGTCGTCGTCCTCATGAATTTAGTCAGCGAGGCTTTCTAACTCCATCTCTTCTCTGCTCTTCTCTTTTTCTTTTCTCTCTGCAGCAATTTGGAAAGATTTTAGATGTGGAGATTATCCTACATTTGTATAGTTACACATTAACAACCTATGGATTTAATTTAACATCAATTAATTTAACAGTTAGTACCATTTAAAGTCTAGGACAGGTAGAGTCATATGCCACACAGTTGGTAGGCATTTTAAAGGAGGCTGCAGTAATTGCAAAACATCATTAGAAGACTGAATCAGTAACTCTGCAGGAACAGGATTGGGGCATATATCACAGTATCATCAGCAAAGAAGTTTATAGTGAGAGGAAATAAAGTGCAAAACAACTAAAAAAGGCCACAAACCAAAACCCTTATTTAAGATGTTTTTGAAAGGAAACATGACTTAAAGGGAAGTAAATACTACTGCTGGGGACTATTTTCAGCTGCAGACCTGGTGCTCAGGTGACAATCTCCAGTAGCAGAGCAGTGTATGTGTAAGCAGTGGGTCTTTGCGGTGACTCTGTGATGTGTTTTTAATAATTCATGGACGGCAAAGGGATATACAAGGAAGCACGATACTTTAGTTTTGTCTTTTTGTACAATTTGCCGACAAAGAAAAACGCAGAATGCAGACAGCAGTGTTCTTAAAGGTCACCCGTGCAGAAAATAAGAAATACTGCTTATAATTCAAGCTGCGCCTCCTTAAACAACATTGTGAACTTGCACACCTTGGATCATTTCTACATTTGTCTCAAAGATAATTTGTACTCGTAAACACGCCAACCAGCCGCCAGAAAAATGGCCACAGCGTTGATGCGTTACTGCAGTATCAGTCTCCCAACCAGGACAGGTGAAGCCTGCGGAGGTGTGAGCAGCCGAGAGCTACTCATCCAGCTGTTCATTTAATAGAGTGTACTAAGCTCCACAGCTTTCCATTCATAAAGGCGACAGGCTCCCTGGCTGGGTGTTGAGGCATGAATGCTATTGATTCCCATTCATACCTGGGAGTACTTTGGGCTCGTATACAGGCGTGCAGGGAGCCCCGGAACCAGGCGACGCTGCTGCACTCAGCCCCTTCTGCCAGACAAGATTGAGCACCGGATAAACCGGTCTCCTCCGCCCGTAACAAGCATTTATTGTTTGTGCCCTACAAAGCCATTACCCATGATGCCTCTCTCCCTCTTGCACTCTGTGTGCTATATAATGAACCTACCAGGCCATTAATAAACAATCTATTTCCTATGAAGCTTTGGCAATTTGCATTCAATATGTTTGTCTCCTTTGAAAAATGGTGGCTCCACTCTGTGCTCTTGTAAGCTAATTATTTGTGCATGATAAAAAAAAAGATAGAGGGGGTAACCACAGTCGGGTGAATGTCCAAAGGATTAATTTTGCCCTCAATTCCTTTTTTGAATTTATTTCTTTATCTCTCTTTCCCCAAGGACAGGTCGCGTGTTATTTATGCTAGAAATAGCAGCCCGGAGATCCTGCGTATGCATACAAGATCACTCCGCTCGCCATCTCTCACATGTATTACATCCTCAAGCAATTATCAGGCAGCGCCGGCCATGCTCTCTCTCCCTCAGCCTATACCTCTATAAGTATATATAGAAACCACAGGAATGGGACTTGTTTGGCCAGAATATCTTAAAGCTTGCGCTATAGAGAGTCCAGTATCCCAGTCCACATAACTCAAGGAAGTGACAAACCCCCCAGGGGAGGCAGGCAGAGAGAGTTTGGAGAGGTTGGGTATATTTTGGTCGGGGTTTAAAGTCAATATCGGAGCTCTTCTCTATCACAGACGAGCATATTTGCAATGACACCATTCACTTTTCTTTTCTTTGTTGCATCAATGAGCCGGTGTAATTTCGCCTCCATAAAATGGCCCACCTATTAGTGCAGTGAATAAGAAACAGCCAGAGATCAAGTTAACGTGTCTGTTCAGAGAATTCATCCTCACTCCTTGTGCCGTTGCCCACGCCTTCAAAGGGAGACGGCGGCTGTGCCGCTGAAGTTGTGTAGATAATTATACGACTATTATGGCAGCCGCTGCTTCCTGACATTCACCCATGGCACCGGTGCTGTGCTGTTTAATTGGGTAAAGCAGGCAGGTTTGTTGGTGTTGTTGTGTGAGGTCACGTCACCGTTATCCTCTTCTCCTCGGATCTCTCTGTTTGCTGTTTCCTGACGCCTCACTAACTGCCTCTAATTAATCTGGCTGCTTACAACTCGACTCTGCTGCTCACCTACTCCTGTCTTCTCACCTCTCTCTCCCTTTTCTCCTCCCTTCCCTTTTCTTCCTCCTCTGTGTGTGTGTCCATCTTTTCCTTCTCCTTTGTCTCTCTACCAATGGCTAATGTGGTGCTCTCAGGGCTTTGGGTTTGTAACTTTTGAAACAAGCACAGATGCTGATCGTGCACGGGAGAAACTAAACGGTACAATCGTAGAGGGACGCAAAATAGAGGTGCTTTCATTTTTCCCTTTATTCTCATCTTCTCTTCTGCCTGCCTGCTGCCTTCTCAACTTACCCATAAACCTCTGCATAAGCATGCGGCTGCTCTGTCTGTGCGTGTGGTGCCTGAATGTATGCATGCATGACGGTGCGTTTAAATCCTTCTCGGCAGAATGCGGGATCCATACACGTCAACACCAGTTGTCCATCATTACCTGACAACGCAGAGTGAATGCATGCCATCAGTCGTGCATTCCCCTATCGCCACCGTTTAGTGTTGCCTGCTCTAATTCTGTTTTTGTTCACGACGAGCCGAGCCCGCACTCGGCCGTTCTCATCAGGTCAATAGAAGAAAATCAAAGCACTGTCTGTGTTTTGCTTTTGGAATCCATTTGTTTATCCAACCAATTCTGAGGATGCTTTTTTTTATTATTATTATTATTATTATTCATACCTGTGGGTAATTGGTGCATGCTTTCCCTCTCTTTCCAGTAATATAATCATCTGTAAGAAAATTGAAATGATGAATAAATTCATGAAAGGGCGAACCAAAACTCAATCACACTAAAGTGCTACAAACAAATTTACATAATCATTTATTTTATGAATCCGTCTTTATTCATCTTGGTTTGCTGCTCGCTTGTAGCTCGCCGTGGATACGCGGATGGTAAATGTAAAGGTCAGTAATCACAGGCTTTGTGTTTGCTGCTTGGAACAGGTGAACAACGCGACAGCACGAGTGATGACAAACAAAAAAGTGGCCAACCCGTACACGAACGGTGAGTGGCAAACTAAACGATAAGAGTTCGCTCGTAGTCGTCGCTGTGAGTCAAGTTTTTCTTTCGGTCCTCTCGCCAGGCTGGAAGCTGAATCCGGTGGTCGGAGCTGTCTACGGTCCTGAACTGTATGCCGGTAAGAGCCGTTTTCTGTGTTTTTCTCTCCACCTCCCGCTGTACGCATCGCACCGTACCCGAGGCCGCTATCAGCCACCGCCTGTCCCAGTCTGACCCCTGAATTTCTACAATCAGGTTCATCCTGAACCTACTGAACATGAAATTCCCCTCGAATCAAAGTGAATCGGAGAGCGGCTCAGATAAGCAGTGGATGATCCAAGCCTCTCTGAGTGGCTGAGGGAGCCTGAGCCATTGTTTGCGCGGTGTGCAACTGTAATGCTGGAAAAAAAATGATTTCGAGAGCAAGCGCCCCTGCAACTGTTATCAGATTGTGGAGGCTGCTGCTGTGGATGGATTTGCCAAGTGCGCCAGATTGACTTTTACAGAGCTAACCGAATAAAGGAGATTGAGTGAGCGATATTGTTGGCACCTACCCTGTCGAAGGCCGCTATTCCTTCTGGTCTCGGTAATGGAGGAATGAGATGAGCTCAGTGGGGTTTTCCCTATCTCTCTCTGCCTCGACATGCCAGCTTTATTGCTGTATGTTATATGAACCCTTTGCATTTTAATGAGGGGGAAATGGTACTATTTCATTTGGAAGAAGTGCTGAGCACATCGCGCCACTTTAACGGCTTTCCTTTCTGCTCATTAGACTAAAATCTGTTCATTCCCCGGACAGCTTTACGGCGAACCTCTAAATAACTGTCCATGACAGAAAGCAGTCATCTATCATTTTTATTTCATCCCCAACCCCTCGCCCCCTCCGAGCCTCCTCCCTCGCCTCCCACTCCCCACCTCCCCCCACCAACATTCCTTTAGTTTCGACATCTCCTGCCGATAATTATTCACACACACAAACGTACGCTCGTCCCTCTCCTTCTTGCACGCTCAGGCACAAAAAACGTGGCGCCTTTTCTCTAAATTGAAAATCGGGACGTTAAGTAAGTCTCAGCTTACGTAAACAATAATTTCACTTGACCCATATCCACGCGCAACGCTAACACCTGCCCTGCTTCTCAGACCAAAGCACTCCAGCACACAGAAATAGATAACCTATGTAGAGCACAGACTCAAATACATGTCCCCTCTTCCATGCACACACTCTCTACTTCGCTCTCTCTCTCTCACACACACACTTCCCAAATCATCTCATAAATCAGAGGGAGTGTGGTCCACCACTCCAGGCAGGGGAAGCAGGAGGGGTTGGGTGATTTATTGGCTGCTAATTTTTCAAGTCGTCTTGACATGGCGCTGGAGTTTGCCAAGCCTAAACGACAACATATGCTTGCCAGCTGGGAAGATGGGAAACATAAATAAGAGATACATTTTTGAAACAAAACCTCCCTAATGAGCAGCAAAAGGCTGTTTTAACTCGCTAAAAAACAAACTCTGACCAGCTTGTTGACTGTTGCATTCTTCTTCTACTCTTCCTTTAAAAAAAAAAAGAAAAAAATGATGACCACATTCAGGACATTTTCCAAAATCATCACAGCTACAGTTAATATACTTTTGGTGGGAGTAAAATGGGATATAAAGGCGATTAATCACTGTTTATCAGTCCTCATTTCTGTGCAGGAGATCAGTGAAATTGGTAGCCATAAATCCTGGCTCGGTGACAGCGCACTTCGTCTCCATTCGTCCTGGCGCTACAGGTTTATTGTCCTCAAAACCCATTCAGGAGAATGACGGATGAGAGCCTCATACCGGCTCCCCGCTCTTAACCTCTTCCAGGGTAGATTGGCTCCTCCTCTGCGTGGAGGAGGGGGTAGGAGGGTTCTCGGTAGGGTACTGGCAGCCAGCTCCAAACGTGGGTCCGTGTTCTCCGTTGCCACCTAATACCCAAACCTCCCATGGAGCCCTGCTGAAGGGGTGGCAGAGGACAGCGGTGTGGTCCAGAGAAAAAGAGGCATGGCAGCGGGGTTCCCAGTCAGATGGAGGGATTGGCAATAGCACATGGCTGTGGCACAAATCATAGTGTGAGGTAGCTGGTAGGCATCCAGTACCAGTGCTCATTTTTATCCTGTGTTAGCGAGCGCTAAACTTTTGTAGAACAAGCCCCAGAATCTGTGCTCCGCTATCCAAATATAGTATGACAAGAGTCTGGCTCCATCCATACAGATGCAGCAAGTAGGCGTGTAGCTAAAAACGGCACAAATGTCGGGACTCTGTTTTACGTTATTTGTTGTTAATGTGACATCATTCGTCAGGGTGAGCGGCACATCCCGTGCATATTGCATTCTCAGCTCATCTTATTGCAATTGGCAAACTTGCGCTGGATGTTTTCAGCACCATGGACAGCTGTCACTTAGAAATCCCTTCGTATGGCTCGGCTCTCCTCAGACTAACGCAAAGAGACTCTTCTCGGCAGCTAATTCCCAGGAAGACAGGAGATGAGTAGCTTTTCATTCACCAGTTCATATTTTTCTGCGACTAAGGTGGAGGTTTCTTTTTTTTTTCTTCTTTTTTGAGGACTCGTGAAAAGCTACCAGCTGTGTAAATGACAGAAAAGAAAGGCTAATTGCCATCTTAACATATGTAGACAGATCCTCTCATTGTTGGAGTGTACTTTAGGGGGATAATTAAGCTCCAGACTCTTGATTAGATTAAGCTGTTTTTTTTGGTCCCCAGTGCGTGGATTAAGTGCTCATTGCCCGATGTATTTGAGCAGGAAGTATTAGAGAGATCAACCTTGTGGAAAATCAGATCTTTCTTTATGGGAGCCGGTTATGACCCCATCATTGGCACAGAGCGGGATTACCTCGGGTCCAACCGGCTCTGCAGGTATTGAGCTTCTCTCAAGTTGACACATATGACATACGAGGTGCAGCGTGACCCCGCCGCCCTTCAGCGCATAACTCATATTTTCTCCAGCCCCCCTCCCGGAAAGGGTGTTTGACTTTGGTGGCTAGACCAGGTTTGCGCTCTCATACGCTGTTGCTGTTGTTGCTTTTCATGGGCTTACCAAGGTGTGACAGCGCCTTTGATTTATGGGTTATTATTGAAGCAGTGTAGCCTATCGCCAACTCATTATGAGTTTACATTCACATACATCACCGCATGCATATTGCATACAAATTTTAAAAAAAAGAGAAGGAAGCAATTGGGCTTTGTGGGAGCCCAGAAACAGCGGCGATTTGTTAAGAAGAGGGCAACGCACCTCGAAAACTATCAAGGATTGTTTTTGCCCTTTAGCGGCCGTGCTCAGATGTCCACTGCTCCAAAAAAAAAGGAGGGACTAATTTAAATGTCAAGGTCAGCGTTATAAATCACCCGGGAGGCAAAGGGGGCACCGTCCCAGTCCAGGCCGTCCACGGGTGTGTTGGCAGCAAAGAAAGCGCCCCGCACATTGGTGGGCGTCACCTGGCCAAATGAGACGCAAAGTTTGAATATGTGTGCGGACCCACTAATGGAGCGTGATGTTAATGGCAGAAGACATTAAACCGGGCTCTCTGTGTTTTTAAAAGCACCACTAATCTGTCTCCCTGTCAGCTTTATTGAAGCAGCGAGGCTAGGGTGAGCATCGTCCATTAGGGTGCTCACTGGTCTCGACCAAATGCAGGGCTGGCGCTGCACACGGCAGAGTACCATCAGGCTGTCACTCCCCAGGCACAAACCCATACAGCACCGCTTACCTACGAGCTGCCATGGATCTTCATTGTAGTCTAGTTTGTCGGAGATTGCGAGGGACTGGCGGGTCGTCTGAAACAGGCCAGATGCGTGTTATTAACCCGCATTATTTACCCCAGCCGAGGCACCGCGTCACCCCACCAAACCAAATCAGACTCGAGCTCCACATCACAGAGTGATCTGTGATTGGGGAAAGTGAAGCGGTCCGTGATGAATTCATCCAAAGCGTGTCGCGGAAATGAATAAGGCGAAGAGTAAGGTGAGGAGAGGGTGACGAAGGGGCGTTTCTGGGGATAAAGAATAACGGAGCTGACTGTGCTGTGATGGACCAGACGTTGGGGGAGGGAGAGAGGGCGAAGACCAGAGGGAAGGGAGCAGTGAGGGAATTACAATTGCTGGAAAAGTAGAGGCCAGCTTAATCATGTCTAGAGATCAGTGTGTTTGTATGCACCTCCACAGCCTGTAATCAGACAGCCAGTGGACCGATTGAAGGTTAAGTGGAGAGCTGACGATCACATCGGCTGTCCTCTAATCTGCGACCGTGGCTATTTTGTCGCACCGTCACACCAACCCTTACTCATCACCCCGAAGCCTTTCACCCCAACTGACCCTTTTCATGTTCAGTGGTAGCCATCAGCAGAGGACAGAGCATGTGGCTGTGCGATTGGCTAAAGATGGTCCCAGATGGGTTTGGAGATGGGGGTCATGCTGAGGTTTGGGACTTGGCTGTCCTGCCCATCTGCTCCATTTCCCCTCGGGGAAGTTCAGAACGTCTAGTCAAGTTGTTCAACAACCTTTACCGCCTGTTCGTCTCCGCCCGACACCGAGAAACGCCCTCTACCTCTACCCCGTCCACCCTCCCGCTGCTCTTTGTTGCTAGCCCATTGTGTCTAAACTATGCAAAAGCCGTGGTGCGAAACTAGTGGTATTGCATCCATTACCTGCCCAGCTTCAAGGCTGCCCCTCACCAGGCATCGGGAAAGGATGCGTACAGCAAATGTGGATCCTTGCTGAGTACGGCACAAAGCAGCGAGCTGGGAAAGGGGAGAGTGCTCGATGAGGCGCACCTAGAAAAGATTAAATCTATTGTTTCCTTGTCTTCCCTATAATGCATTCTGTCATAGGGAAAGCAGTGCCACACGTCTCTCTCTAATGTATTCTGTCATAAGGTAAGCAATGCCAAGTCGAGGATGTTCTCTGAAAGTCATTTTCTCTTCTTCTCGTGTGTGTTTTTGTTCTATAGTAACAGGATTTCCCTACCCTGCCACAGGCGCTACGGTGGCCTATAGGGGTGCCCACTTGCGGGGACGGGGACGGGCTGTGTACAACACATTCCGCACAGCTCCACCTCCACCACCAATCCCAGCTTACGGAGCGTGAGTACTGACCCTCCGAGGCCCGGTTCGGGTCGCATGATATTTTTGTCTTTTCATAGCTGAGAGTTTTAGCTTTTATACACTCTTTCAGACATCAAGACAAAATGCGTGTTGTGGACTGTTCCTCCTGATGCAAAGTAGCACACGACATCATCAGTGTCAGGCCGTAACTGGGCTGATACTGTGTAGTCTGAACACAACGAACACTTTTTATATAGATAGCTGTCGTTTGGTTAGATTTCACGCTGCAGTATGAATGAAACTGTACCCAAGACTGCTCCGACTGAATTTATGCCCAAACTTTGCTTTTCTACTCATAATTTAAAAGAAATCTTTCTGTTGCGTCTCAAGACCGTGCCCTCCTGCAGGAAACCCGCTTGTCTAACATAGCCAGGCAGCATTGCTGCTGTAATTTTACATATTTTTTTATCTGCGCACATGTCTGAAGAGAACTTTGGTATCTGCGGATATACATAACCGAACCCTGCCCGTCCTTACATTTGTACAGCGTGTGTTGACAAAGGAGTAACTGACAAAGTCAAGGTGAGAGCTGCGATAGTGTATTACCAGTCAGATCTCACTGGACTGTGACCGGGGCCCGTGCTGATCTCCTGGCTTTATGCAAGCCTGCCTCGCACTCGTCTCTTATCAGCGCTGGTCTGTGTGGCCGTGGGAGAGGTCTGACGGAGGCTGGCCGCTGCCCTGCCATAGCTGTCTATCTGTGATTAGATCTGGATCTGTCTTAGTGCGGTGGGACTCGCAGCTGAGACTGGAAATCCCACATCCCCATTCGCCTCCTTCCCACTCGGGGACCCCTTTGCTGCTGATGGCAGCCGGTTGATTTATATAGCCTAGTCATGTGACGCAGCTCCTTCACTGCCTTCTTTTGTCCTCCCTCTCCACCGCCAGCCCTCCTGATAGCAACTGCAGCAACTGGAAAGACAAACAATTTTACCAGAGCAGAAAATTGGACAGGGATGTGAAACCGTTACACCTTTCAGTTTGTGTCATTCATTATTTGTGGTACAGCGAGCTAAAGCTGCTAAGAGCTGACCCCACAGACCTGCAAATGGTCAAAATAGGAAAATTGGCAAAGGCTGAGAGTCGGTGGGGTCGGATGCAGTCCAAGTCAACTAACTGTGCTTTCCTGTTTCGCACGTTCACAGGGTGGTGTACCAAGATGGCTTCTACGGTGCAGAGATCTATGTAAGTACAGTTGACTTTTCTTCTAGATGAAACAGAAGTAAAACAGACAAGAAGCCCAGCCCTGGAGACAAAAACGTGATCTCCTCAGCCCCCAGCCTCGCTGCCAAGCCGGCGTCGATTAGGCCTCCGTCTACTGTGCCAAGAAACTCAACAACAAAATTTAAAACCCCCTCAGCTCCTCCCTCCTCTCCCTCTTTTCTTCCTATGATCTCAGACTTTGGCAAAGAGGCAGACCCTGACTCAGTGTCCCATGTCAAGTTTGGTCATTTATTCCTTTAGATTTGTCTGGAGGTTTTTAAGTCTCTCCCCCCCCCCCCCGCCGCCCCGCCAGCTTTCTTTCTTCTTGTTACCTCTCTGGTGTTTTTGCATTCACTCCGAGGGTTTGGCTGGGATATCCCCTGCTTGCCCCAGGGGGTCTGCGCAGACCTGAGTGGAGCCGGTTCCTCCCAGCCATCAGCAAGTGGGAGATAAGAGAAGCCGCAGATAAAGGGATTAACTGTCCCTCTGGAGCTGTCCGTGCAGGCAGGGTCACATCGGGGGCTGGCCCTGCTGCACCTCGCCCTTGACAGAGAAGAGCGTGGACTCTGTGGAGATAATGCTGAAATTACCACGCTGCCCCACTTTGACACGAGTCCAAACGTTTGCGAGGAATGTAATTTGTCCCTTTTGGGTTTTTTTTTTTTCCACCGCAGTGAGATGACTGTCTGTGCAGCAGCAGCAATGACAGTTCCTTCTCACTTTCACCCTGACAAAGACCGGTGTCTGGGAATGAAATGCTAAACCCAAGTGATCCATGACTTACACACCGGCCCGCACGATAGGGCCGTATTTCACCGGCTTTTGTTGTAGGGACACCCACCACTCTGGAAGAGACCCGGGCTGTGCTCTGAGCGATGTTGTTTGTCTCTCACGCTCATTTAGCCACCTCCAGCTAAGTCCTACACAGCTATGTCCCCTGACCGAGGCCTGGCCAGGTCGGTCCATCACTCAAAGCGTCAGGCCGGCCCCTGGTGCTTTACTGCCATTAGTTTTGGCAATGGCCACTGCATTGCTTCAGACTGGCTGAGAGTATGTGAAGGTCTCGAGTGACCAAGAGGGAGCCGTCCCACAGCCCTCAGTGTCCTATACAATCATTCAGTGGACACTGGCGTGCTGTCAAAAGCAGCCAGCTGTTCTGTCAAGGCTTCTGCTAATACATTAGCAGAAGGGGGGGGGGGAACGAATGCATGCACATATAAATGCACATACGTGGCATGCGCTAATGCATATGCATGCATAGACACACACGGCACACCCACATATTCCCCATGACAAAATAAAAAATGTGCTGCGCGGCCGCGTGCAGGATTTGACAATGTGGGAGAGTGATTTATTGTTCCGTGTTTGTTCAGGCTGTTGCTGTAATCAACACATTCCCAAGGCATGACCGTCCCACAGGAAGTCATCCGCTTCAATTGCTGTGACTTCCTGTCCCCTTGGTAAACATCAAGGAGCGGAATTCGATCGCCGTGGCCCCGATTTCGCTTGCACCCGCGACCTCGGCCGACTCACCGTTACTTCGCGATGTCGCTCTGCATCGGACACCCCCCTCCCCTTGAGTTTAAAAATAAATGAAAACATGCATTATTAAAAGCCACCTATCCACCGTATGGACACAGATGGGCACACACTCCACTGGCACTAATAGAAAAACAGTGGGAGAACAGCTTCATTTTTCAAGGAGAGTAATAGCAGCACTCCACAATGAGGTCTTTAATTCCTTCCCCATTCTGGCAAATGAATACAGCGGTCCTGACTCCCCAATGGTCCGACCGTCTTCTGCCTTCTTACTTCTTTTGTGAGCCGGGGGGGTCATGTATAAGGGGAAAAAAGGGGGAGATCTTCAATTACGGAGCAGCGGCGCGCCCTCAATCTAAAAATGGGCCGAATGTGGGGATTTGGCTCACGTTGCCTCCGGTGCGACAATGACTTGCTCCCCCTAAACGCGCTGCCTCTCAGAACATCATTCATTCTCTTGTTGCCACCACCTGCCTAACACACCATATATCAAACAGCACCCTCTGGTGTCTCACGGGGAGGCTGCAGTCGGGGAGTGTGAGCAGATGAGCAAACTACTGCGTGGTGACATTTAACCATTAAGGCAATTTGAGGCTGTGTGTGCGCAAGTGGTTGTTTTCTTGCGTCTTTGAGAGCTAACCTTTGTCTGCACAGGTAATCACTGATTAAATATGGTGGTATTTTTTTGTTCTTTTACAGGGTGGCTATGCAGCATACAGATTTGCCCAACCCACCACCACCGCTGCTTACAGTGACAGGTGAGGGTCTCAGATTGTATGAGACTGATTCTCTTGTATGTAATTTGAGGGGTTTTAAAGACAAAAATCTCCGTAAAGTTATTAATTAATAGACCCTGTGCACGAGAAAATGCTAACTTCCTGGTTTGAGACCGGATGTAGGGTTGTACGTTTCCGGTAGCTTTACTTTGCGGTCAAGATATCCTCCAAAATCATATCCAGAAAACGGAAAGATGGCGTTAAGTTACAAAGAGCAGAAGGTGGGAACACTCACCACTGTTGTGTCATAAAAAATCTAATGATCAATTTTGACGTTTAAAGAGTTTAGATCGATCAGTTGTTTGGAGAACTGCAGCAGAAGACACATCGTCCACATTCAGAAGCACTGGTCTGATGATTTAAACAGGTGAAGAATAGTCAAACCAGATGTTTCCCCCGTTATGTTGATATCAGCTCATCAAGTACACACCTACACAGCATGTTAACAAACCATGAAAAAAAGCCACACCAGCAATCATTCATTTTTTGTAAGGGTTTCTATACATTAATATTTACAAAGGGTATCTTGTGACTTACCTTCAAAATTACAGCGGTTCACCTTTCACCTCGCTGTTTCGCACGTTTTTTTTTACGTCACATCCTGCGTCCTGATCGCTGCAGACGATCTCCTCCGTGACATCTCTCCTGTACAGTACAGAATCGCTGCATCGATCGCTGGCAGTGTGACTCTGAAGTGCAGTACTGTATGTCCACGAAACGTTTTGCACCGTCTTTGCTGCCTACTTGATTTCACCTATTTTAGAACATAACACCCGCGAAATATAACATTTGAATCCATTTTTTCTTTTGCTCTGAGGTGCAGGGAAAAAATATCGACAACTCTATGAACAGCATTTACAGATATATTGGGTAAATGCCCAAGACATCTATAGAAATGTAAACCAGGCGCGAATAGGACACCGGAAATAGCATATGTTAACGTGCACATAGTCTATTGGCTGTAACTGGGAATATTGAGGCTGTTTTGAGTGTTTCCCATAATTCCATAAGACAAGGCTGACTTCAGCCATCGTTAGCGTTCACTTCTCAAGTGCTTAAAGAAACAGAAATGCATTGCAGAGCAGGCACAGGCTACTTTTTTTCTCCACGAGCAGCTGTTGAGAAAATGCTGAATTGAAAGTAAAAACACGGACATGTTTCCGATGTGTCCGACTCGGCTCCCGAGAACTTTTGATTTAAAGCAACAAGTTGATCCCACAGGCTGTGAAACAGGGGAAATTACTGGGAGAAGGAAAAAGGAGTGCGCCTCTAAATATGTCCTCATAAATCTCATAAATGCAGCCATCGCTGTGTCGGAGTAGCAAAGGGTGGGCTTCAGCTTTAAATAATTAGTGTTTTCCCACCAAAAATGATCATATCTACAGGAGACGTGATAGTAGGAGAGCGCGTGTGATGAATGGGGGCTGCTCCGGCAGCATTTTACAATATTCTGTGGAGAGTTATTTTGGGTTTCTTCCTCTCAAGTTATCTTATCTATTAGGCAAACCGCTATATTCTTTTTAGCTCGGAGCTAAAGAGCACACACGCGCACGGAGGAAAAAAGACTAACCTTGTTGGACTCGATGAGAAAAGCAGTGATATATGTCGTGACTCTCCGCTTGTGAGGGGAGAGTGGGTATATCACTGCGGTATTTATTAATGGCCTCGGGTCTGCGGAGGGGAGGTGGGGAGACGGAGAGAGGCAGAGATGGACCAGCGGGAACTCTATCACTTCTGAGTGATGTCACTCTGGTTCAGGTGTGCTCTGTTTGAGGAGGCGTCGCTGATTCATTTCGGCCCCGAAAGCCGTTGTCAGCCGGGATGTGGGCCGGTTTGGGAATCTAATCTGGGAAGGATTGAGCATGTCACTTGTGATAACGTACACCCTGCCTGAGAGCCTGAAGATCATATCGATAATGTAAGATTTATCAGGCCTCGCCGCGGTTCGAATTATGAGCAGCCGCGCTCTGCGAGAGCAGAAATTGGACGGCGGCTTTTTTTCCCTCTCCGAGTGATTTAATTCGTGTTTCTCTTGCCTTTACTTTTCTCTGAGATTTAATATAATTCGCCCCAAGTTGTTTGTTTTGCTTTGTCTGTTTGTTTCCTTTTGAATAAGCGGTCATGCCCACTGGATCAATAAGGGTTTGCTGGTGTTGTCTCAGCCGCACCTTATCAGACTTTACCGTGGAGCCGTCAGCCAATCATAAAAAAAGAGGTCGCCGGGATTGAGGAAGGCGTGTGAAACCCTGCAAAATATGAAACATTTATTATCCGAAAAGCCCACACCGCTCACAGGCTGCATTACCAAAGCCCTTTAAGTAACTAAAGAGAGTTGGTACAGGCGAGGCTGATGAATCAAAGAGGCCTTCACAGGAGCCAGGCACATCGTAGAGACCCTGCTAGCTTCCAGTCGGCTCTGTGACATTGCGCGGGGTGGTTTGACCTGCTGTTCGTCAGCGGCGCCACTCTGGTGAGAGTCATTTTGGAGATGTATTAGCCTTAGAGGGCCTGTGGGGTTCAGTGCTCACTGAAGATAAGAGGACCACGGAGACTTCCCCTGACCATCTCACGGCACGGGCCTCCTCCCCAAGGAGCCGAGACAGCCTTTCCGATTTCACGTCCTGCTCGCTGACCTTGGGTGCCGACGGACTTGAATGGGCCGCGCCATATTTAGATCTTATATAACTCAACGCATCTCGTACGAACGTCGTACGTCTTGTTGTCTCCTTTAGGAGAATTTCCTCCTCTCTCCACTCCTTTTTTTTTTTAATTCCTGGTTGATTTGGTGCCCTCAGTCCTTGGCTGGGTGTGCCTTATCTGCTCCTTGCAGACCCTCATTTGCAAGCAAGAGCTAAAAAAAAAAAAAAAGAAAGTAAATAGAGGAATATGTGAAGTCAAATAAATAAATAAATAAAGCGCACACATCTTGTCCTGTCTCAGAAGGAAATTGGAAGGATTAGTTCCAAACCAGCAACAATGAAAAGACAGGGGCGTGAGCCCAGTGTGCAGCCTCGGTAAACAAGAGCAGGGTGAGAGAGCGAGCCCTCCAGCGCCAACTCTGCTCTGCATCCTTCTTTTTCTGCCTCCCTCCGCTCATTACCTATTCTATCCAGCTAATCAAGATGACAATGAAAAGACAAGTATAATTCACCAACCTTTGAACTCCCCCTTTTGAACCACCTTGTATAAAGCAGGAAGCCCAGGAGGCCGGGGAGGGAAATAATTGATTGCGTTAGAGACTTGAAAGGGTTTACTTGAGGGGTTGAGCATTAAACAAGCATGCATAAATGTTCTTCTCTCCTCGTCAATGATAGATCAATGACCGCGTTCTCTGTCCCCTGTTGTGCAGCTATGGCAGAGTCTATGCAACAGCAGACCCTTATCACCACACGATTGGCCCTGCAGCCACATACAGTGTGGGGACCATGGTAAGTCTATGAGAGCACCGCCTGTTCCTGTCTGCACCCTCCATGACACAGGCTACAGCACACACACACACACACTCCAAAATAAAGACCAGAGACTTCACTCGTCACTGGTTTTTATTTACGGGTTGTTCATTAATCGATTCGGGTTTTTGTCATGCTATCTGGCACACCCTAGTGGGCAGTACTGAGTAGTACTGTGAAGCCCTGGCATGTGGAAATTGGCTCAGATATTAAGTGCAATAAACTTCTGCAATGCCATGCAAGCTCACCTCCTGCACTATTGATCTGAGAAAAGTTCCTCCTGAAGTGAGAATGAGTGATCACTGCAGTCTTTTCTCCCTCTCCCAACACGAGCTTTACATGTTACATAACAGATACATTTCCAAGCTTTGTTTTCATCCTACATCGCTCAACTTGCTCCCGAGTGCGACAGATCATCTTCTTTTTGTTCCCCCCCCCCCATTCAGTCAAACCGAACCCGAAAAGATGAGGTCGAACTGTTAATGTCTGTTTTTAGCTAGCTTTTGCAGCTACTGTAACATCAAAGATGAAAAGTGACGATAAACAAACGAGGATTTTTTCCGAAACTGAGAGTTCCTCTTTGGTTTTGTTTTACGACGGCGAGGAGGATGATGAGGAGGAGGGAGTTGGGCCGGGCTCGCAGACCAAACCTAGAGATTAAGGCCCATCAAACGCATGCAGCAGTGTGCCGTGGGACATAAAAGAGAGAGCGAGACTGAGGGAGGGAGTTGTCTCACCCTCCTCTCCTGCCCACAAGCTTGATCGGTGGCGTGTTCTCAGCTTGAGAAATGACTCAAATTCATCATTACAGCATGCATGCGATTTTTCAACAACTTTAAAAAAGAAGCGTACAGTTCCCCGGTGCAGCTGCTAGCTAAAAGCTTTCATTAATTAAGACATTTCTTTTTCCTCTTCATTTACTTAATTAAAAAAATGTGCTTGAATGTTTTTTATTCTTTCTTCTCTTCCCTCCAAATTTCCTTCCTTTCCTCTGACACTTTAATCGTCCTCTCAGTGAATGTAGAAGTCAGGATCTGGACCCTAAAAAATATCTAATGTGGTGTGTGTTGGGAGCTCAGGGAGCTAACGCAGGCTTGTTTGTGTGTGTGTGTGCTCGTGGGTTCACGGGGCGCTGAACAAATGGCGAGGCTACTGGGATGCAGGCTGTGCTGAGGCCAACATCTAATAAACTCCTAAGCTAAAGAGAAAAGACCAGTTTGGTTCCTAATTCTTTAATCATATTTGATTAATGGTTCTCCAGCAGCGAGGAGTCATTTTTGCATTTAAAAGCTATACAATAATTAGTTCCTCTGAGGTTGAGGTTGGAAATTCTCTTTACTCGTTTCCAGCTTACAGAAGCATCTCGTACGGATGAAAGTTTTGTACAAGCAAGAGGGCTCCGCGAAATTAGGCAAAATTAGCCTTTGAAGACATTCGGTAGCCTTTGGAGTTTGCCTGAATTCCTAATTGCAGCAGAGCCACCGAAAGATGAGAAGGACTGCGTGTGTGTGCGTGCATGTGCAGGTGTGCATGCATAGGCCCACTTGCATGCTCTATGTGTGTCTGCCCTAGATATCTTGAGCATGGTGCTAAATCTAAGGGCTAATATCCTGTGGTGGTTTGGCCCTCCAGAAAGGTGCAGGCACCTCTGCCAGACTTGAAAAGGAGCCGTGATTAAACCTCTCAGAACTTATTCTGCTTTAGTCCAATCTCTGATATTGTTACGGCCGTAAAAGGACAAAAATCTCTGTTTTTCAATTTATTTCTAAGCGTAATGAAATCAAAATGTATTCGCCGTTCAAGAAAGTGCTCTATCTACATGCATATAAACAATTTCCTCCGTATGAATTGCACCAGTTAAGCTCCGAATCCAACAATCCACTTTACCTCCCGTTCCTAACACACACTCGGATTGTATGCAATCGGGGAATTTATTCAACAAAACCCGTTATTGGCTTCAGTGTCTCAAACTCTCAATCTGTGTCGAGATTATACGTATATGAAAACTCAATAAGTTAAAAGGAAGGAAATTTGTGGAGAAAGAGAAACCGACTCTAGCTGTCACCTGAATACTGATTGGTACTTTTTCATCTTTGATGTTGCAGGCTAGCCTATACAGAGGAGGGTACAGTCGCTTCACTCCCTACTAAAAGAAAGAAAAAAGCGAGAAAAGACAGAGACATTACCCACAACAAACAAACGAAAAAAAAATCCTCTCTTTAAAAAAATAAAATACAAAACACAAAACGAGCGAACACCCAGTCCTTGGCGGAGAGTTAAATCTAACTAAAAGCTTCCAGGTCCACATGCTGAGCCCCTCCCCTGACACTCGCAAGCAGATATTTCTACAACAACCTTTTTGATGTCATCATTGGTCTGCTCTTGTTTCGTATTCATTTTGTGCTTTTGGTTTTCTTTTGGAAAGTTTTATGCACATGTGCATTATCTTGACTGCTGTATATGGGTGCTGTGTCACCATAACCAATGTGAGCCTACTGCAGCACGCATGGTGCATGCTCAGAGGTGTGTATATGCAGCTGCTGTCATCTGACTAAGAATATACTGGGGCATTTCTATCCTGTGTGTGTGTGTGTGCACACAACAAAGAGAAATCAGGTTGATGGTGAACACTGATCCATCCCATTTAATTCCTTTCCCAGCTTTTATCATCGAATCTTTGACTCATCCAGCACGCAGAAGTGCAGCACGCTTAATGCTGACGAGCATGCCTTGGTAATTCTTAGTTCAAAGACAGCACTGCTCTGATTGCTTTCTTTTTTTTCCTCAAACATTGGAGTGTCCTACTGTTGTGCACTTGCAGTGGAGCCTTACAAGCTGTATTATGTGGTATGACAGCATGCAGAGTAAAGGGTCATGAAGGTCAGATTTCTGTCTTGAACTCACAATGCTCATATGCCAGCCCGGTCTCTTGCAAAGCACCGTGCATTTATATGCAACTGTTCTGCATTAGCTGCTGTGTTTTGGGGGAAATGTGACACCGGCTGTGTTGATGTGCAGCGATTCATATAAGTACAGCTGAATGTAAATATGGGGGATGAGCATTTGCATTTCCCACCGGCGGCCTGTGTTCGCATCTTATCTCATGCTCACTGGTATTTTTAGAAATTTGATAAGACCATGAAACATGTGCTTTAAGCCGCCTTAAATTACTTTAAGGGATAGTTGTCTTTTATTAGATCCTGTTCCAGTGATTTTTTTTCTCCCAGGCGATTTAAAATTAGTTCTTCTGCTTTACACCGCCTCTCCAGGAGACATTATACAAAAGTTCTGAATTGGCTGAAAAGTTCTTCTGACGACACGTAAACAGAACTTTATCTGCAAAGTTGTTGGAGCTCAGCTCATGAATGTACTTAGTTTTCGTCTTTGTAGCGTCGCATCAACACATTTCTGAGGCGCACAGTTTGTGTCGCTGTAGCCATCGAAGCAGACCAAACCCTACCCTGCACTGGTTTTAACACAAGTCATTAAAAAAAACGACAAACCAGCAAAAAGAAGTGAAACTGTGCGATCCTCAGAATTCCAAAGTTTGGGAACACCTGCTCGAAAGGATAAAGGGACCAGGCACTGGAATATGGGAATCTAGAATTTGCATTAAAATCCATCCGATTTATAAAAAACAAAACATTTAAAAGCTGAAAAGCAACACGCTGTGACCAGGTTTGTCCACCAGAGGGCACTCTGCAACACGTTTGTGCGAGCCGCACAGAAAGTTAAACGAATAAATGTTCATGCTTCACGGAAAGAAAATGAATTGAAATATTTGGCGTCAGTAAAGCTCATCTTGGGTAAATTAATCACACTTGAAACATGAGTGCAGGGAATCCATAACGATATCGTACGTGCGCTGGAAACACGATGTAGAGATTCATTTTTAAATATGAACCAAAAACCTGCAGTGGAATTTCTTACATGTCTCATGTGCAGGATTAGTCAAATAATTGATTAGTCTACTGACAGACAAAGTAATGCTCCCAGCTTTTCGAAAGCGAGGCTGCTGCGTCTTATTGTAAACTGAGCATCTTTTGTTTTGGCTTTTTTGGTTGAGCAAACTAGACAATTTGAAGCCATCGCTTTCGGCTCTGGGAAGTCACGATAAGCCCCGCGAACAATTTCTTCTTCACACTTCACTGACTAAATGGGTAAATCGGTTAATCAAAAATTTGCATAACATTGTGCAGCGGTTCCTGTGTGTCTGCAGTGTACGTTTCCCCAAAACGCCATTGTTAAACGCAGAATAGTCGCATGTGAAGTGAGTTTGCAGAAGACACGGTTGCATATTCTCACTAATACAACACGGGGGGTGATCTGTACACAAGGTTTACGCTAACCCCACACATCCGTCACACGGGAATGACACAGCACTGAGGTGGGTTAACCCTGGCAGAGGGCTGTTCTTCTACAAGTCACCGCTCTCTTTTTTAAGCATTGCACAAAATGTTTTACCTCAGGATGAGCTAACTGAAACTCACAAACTAGGATACAGTGCTACTCACTTCTCAGCCGGCAGGACAGTTTCCTTTCCAACACAACCAGCAGGTTTCGGAAGAGCTAATTTTTCAGTTTTTTCTTTAAGCAGAGACCCCATGATGATAAAATAAAGACTGTACTGTTGTTCTTTACTAAAACTACTGTATTATATATATATTAAGACATATACTGTATACACACACAAGTCCAGGAAGATATTATATATGAAAGCACCCAGGAGTTAGAAGACACAATGTAAATGTGTGTAGAGTGCAGACTTACTCGCCTCTTCGTCGACATGCGGTCATTGCATTGGCTTCTATTACAACTTTGTGCTGCGTGAGGTGGATTTAAAAGAAACTCTGTGTAGCTGCTGTTAGCTGTCGAGATTTAAGCGCAGCTACGGAAATGCAACTGAAAGCTTTTGCCAATAATATTTAATTTCTATGTACTCACACTCAAAGTGTTGTGGTCTTAAAAAAAAATCTGTT